CAATGTACCTGTCCGGAGTATCAATCAAACTTAACAACTGACCAATCAGAACAGAGCCAGGAACATGCGCATGTAGTACAAGGAATATGCGCGTGTAGTACCAGGAATATGCGTGTGTAGTACCAGGAATATGTGCGTGTAGTATAAGGAATATCCGTGTGTAGTACTAGGAATATGCGTGTGTAGTACCAGGAATATGCGCGTGTAGTACCAGGAATATGCATGTGTAGCACCAGGAATTGGTGCGTGCAGTACCAGGAATATGCATGTGTAGTACCAGGGATATGCGTGTGTAGTACCAGGAATATGCACGTGTAGTACCAGGAATACGCGCATGTAGTACCAGGAATATGCGCGTGTCCAACAGACACACAGGTTGTCACACAAACGCATATGTTTGCGTATGTTTTTACACTGTCGTTTTTGTGGGAATTTAGCAGCAATATTCAAGGGACGGGGCCTAGGAGAATGGTCCATTAACGCTCTGCAACCGTGCAGTTCCATTATGACCTAGTACCTTTGTGCCCCTCCAGTGAAGAATCTCTGAAACGACTCCATCAGCAAGAGGACAGCCAGTGAAGTCATCAATTACGTTACTTAACAACCACGGGAAATCAGTTTCCTTCACAAAGTCTTGAAGCTCATCAATACCGAAATCTAAGAGTGTAAAACATAATTTCAAATTTATCAATGCTGAATAATAGATACTGGTATTTATTGTTTCATACTTGTTAAGTAAAGGAAGCATGTAAACTGGAACATTTATCACTACTGTATTTCCTCTTATATTTTTTGCTATTATTTTTAATCTAAAAATAATAAAGAATAAATAATAATAATTAAAAAAAAAAAACAAGAAATGTACCAAAAACAAAAATATGACCAACAACATAAACAACATGAATAACAACAATAATTATCACCCTGTTAGGTAATACAATGCAATAAAATAATTAGTAGTGAATGTTGTTAAATTAGAAGTGGAGTTGAATTAGGAACTCTACTCCCTAAACCTCATAAATCAAGAGACTTAGTTGATTTCATATTTAAAAGGGCTCCGAATATCAGCTAATCTACTATGATACAGTGGAAGGTCACCCTCTATAAATTTTTTTGAAAAAAAAACAAACTATTCAGTATAAAACTGTTTAAATGATAAATTCATAGCTTTCAAATTAACAATTAGGTAATAATGTAAATGACCGGGTCCTCAAAAAAAGCGTAAAGCTTTGCAAACACTATCAAATTTTATTTGACAAATAACTGTCAAATGCCCATATTTGGGTGTAGTATGACATCATCATGTCCATATATGGGCACATCACACATATTTGTCGCATTCCATTTGATTGCGTGGGCAAGGCTTTAGGACCTACTCACCGAAATCGTGATTTCCGTAGACAGCCGCTTTAACGTGCATGGCATTCAGAATCGGTATCATCTGAGTACCTCTCAGCAAACTACTCACTGGCGAAGACAAAATATTCATTAAATGTGAATATCTAAACTATTCATTTTGCTAATATTCTATTGTAAAATAAACTCAGTTTTGAAAATCAAATATACTGAATATTTACAGTAAACCATAGTTAGTACAGTACTTCTAAAATGTTTGCGCCCAGCAAAGGGAAAATAAGAAATAGGCCTAATGATGTTTTTATAAGATTCTATGTTTAAAGACAAAAAAGACTAACATATTATTTTCTAAGACTAATATAATAATGTATTTAAAGATGTTTTAAATTATATTATTTTTTTATATATTATATACTATATTTGTGTCATGGTAATATTTTAATGTTCTAATGACTTACTTCTGTTTTGAATTATATTCTATTTTTAGAATCAATACACTACATTTGTGTTATGGTAATGGTTTAATGTTTTTAAATGACATAATTTCGTCTTAAATTATATTCTATTTTTATATATTAATGTACTATATCTGTGTTATGTTAATGGTTTGATGTTTTAATGACTTGCTTTCATTTTAATCTGTCAAAATTGTACAAATTTCAATAAATTCTCTACTACAACACTGCCAATTCATCAGAAATTTGGTTTATTCAGTAGGTACTCAGGAAATAGACTACATTTTTAAAAAGCTTAAAAAACTGCTACACATAAAAAAAAAACACAGATGATATAACACTTACTTATTGATGGATTAAGAGCATCTCCGCTAAAAAACACAAGAGGGTGTAAATCCATATAGCGTCTTATCATTGTTGCAAATCGAGCAGCACCCCCAACAGGTTCAACGTGCCTTTGAGTGATGTTGTAGACATCATTAAAGTGAAGGATGGTGATTTCTTGGCGCTTTGCATTGGATGTGTACATAGCTTTAATCTCTGCAGATAGCCGACGACGGGAAGACGATTTCCGCACCAACGGTCCTCCCTCTTCATCGGATTCAAGGCCTACAGCATTTAATTGAAAAAAAATCTAATCAAAATTACATCAAACACAGGCCTACTCTTGTAGTTTCAACTGTGCATGCCAGGTTAAAGGTCAATGAAGATAGATTATTTCTTATATGCCTCAACTTTTAGTATAAATATATTCAAACTACAGTATTTGTAAATATTAAATATTAACTGTATAGTGCTTTACGATTTTATTAAATGTATATACATTTATATTTTAATTTAGATATTATAGCGATTTGTCAATGTACACATCATATTTGCCACAATGCAAATACCATAACATAGTAAAATCAATAATACCTGGAAGGTGAAATAAGGTAATTAGTTATGTTTTTAGAGGTAATTAGAAATGTTTTATGGGAAGTACTTTGTCATATTAATTTGTATTGAGCTTTTTTTTTTTCGGTGTTTTACTAAACAGTAATCCATTTTCTAATTTAATAATACTGTAGTAAATGATAGGACAAATTCAGACATATCATCATATTCATGATTTCTCATGTTTCTGTGAGTATCCGCAGTATTCTAGAGACATATCATTATATCCTTATTATAACAATGTTTATTTTGGTAATTTATGTAATCATTTGCATTCCTTAAAAGTTTGTAAACAGTTCTCTTACAAATTTCTCTCATAATGTAGCTACTTTAATTGTTAAAAGGTCATTACTATGGTTACAGTTACGCTTAATGTAGAAAACATATCTGTGGTGTTGGCAGGATAATTCATTAGACTATCAAATTTTATTTGACAAAAATATGTGACATACCTAAATATAGTCATGATGACATCACATCATGACCATATATAGGCACATCATGACCATATATAGGCACACCATGACTATATTATACTGTATGCATACACTTTTTTGTCAAATAAAATTTGATAGTATAAACTTAAATATACATTATAAAATGTTAATAGTCTGTAGCATGAGTACACTTGATGAACTATTGATGAAACAAATTAAAATGCATAAAAGTAGTAATTACCTGTAGAACTCCTACTGAGACTGAAAAATAGTGGACCATACACAGCATGCCAGATTACATTATACAATACTTATGTTTAGATAAATTATAACTGCCAATACAAATTCAGGCAATGTGATCAAACCAAGGCAATTCAACAGAAGGACGCACATCTCGGGACATCAAAGGTTGTAACTCTGGCATCGACATTCTAGGCGCACGTGCGTCCCTACACGCTGAACGTCACAAAAACCATAGCAACCAGGCCATAAACCATCAGCGTACGTGATGATTTACTCACGCGCGTTAGTTGTCATGATAATCGCGTGTCATGCGGTGATTACAAAGGCCTAATGATATTTTGCAGTAACATTAGACTGAAATTATATTCATTTCAACATTAATTTTACCAAAATTGTGGTGAATTGTCGTTCATGAGACTCACTTCGCAGAAAAAATTAATAAATGTTCTGTATATACTCAAATGTTTGTTTTCGGCACCTTATGCCAACATTGTCAAAATAACAGTGTTACATAAGAACATGAAATTTTATAAAATTCGTAAATTTTAAATTGCTACAACTTTTAATTTTCTTGGTCAATTTTCACAAACCAAATTGCAGTTTATAGAAGCATTTAACAAGCTCGCGGTCAAAATAAATCAGATGTAACAGGCATTGCGAAGTACCCAAAATTAATAAAATAAAAACTAACACCATGAAACGAATGGCACGCATAGACTAATAATTGACGGCTGTACTCGCAACTAGTATCGGATTGTCGATGCCACAGTAAAGATCAAAGGACTGTACGCACGCGCTATGTTCGAGAACGGAGATGTGCGTCCTTCTGTTGAATTACCTTG